ATCTTGACGGAAGCATACATGGAGCAAAGACAACGGCAAACCGAGTTCCACAACCGAGTTCCACCTCGGATCGAAGCCACCAAGTAAAAGGAAGTTGCTTGGAGTGCAAGACAATTATCCAAAGGAAGCTTCTTCATCATCAAGGCAACTCCAACAACTAACTTCCCAACCACCTCATTTAATGCAACATCAAGGAATTCCAACAATTAGCTTCCCAACCACCTCATTTAATGCATTGGACTCCTACCCCTCTTGCATGTTCTTGTCATTTAATGTTGTAGTTGAGAATTCTAGCCTATATAAAGGCCTTGTAATGCATCATTTGTAATCAGACTTGTAGAATGTCTCAAACATTTCGAGTTTTATAAACTCTTCTTCGGTTTGTCCGAAATTTATCCCGATCTTCGGTGTGTTCGAGATCACGAGTTTGGTGTGTCCGAACTCAAGCCTTGGTGTGTCCGAGGTCCACTATCTATTCTTTCCCTTCGTTCCATCCATTTTTCTATCTTAGTTTTGAATTCGAGAGCCTTTTAGATCCGGTGATTGAAACTAAGATCCATCCAATTCCCCTTCGTTTTAACCACAACCCGAACGCGAATTCGAGAGCCTTCTCCGTGAAGTGCGGGTGATTGCGTTTTGGATCAGATTCCATCCTCTCCGAGCCAAGGCGTGTACCACTTGAGTTCTGACTCACTTCTATTCTTTTCTTTGACAAGCTTCAAGTTGATGTCATACATTTTCATCAGGTCATCATACATATCATTCATCTTTAGATCACCCTCCAGATCTTCTCCTTTCATAGCATCATGCTCATCGATTATCCCGATAAAGAACATAAAGTTGTTCAGGGCTTCCTCATCATCTTCTGACTCTGATTCTGAGTCTTCATGAGTGATTAAGGATTTAACTTTTACCGATGTGGTGCACTCATTCTTGGTATGACCAAAACCTTTTCACTCATAGCATTGCACTTCTTTAAAGGTTTTGATCATTACTTCTCTTTTGATGACCGATGGACACTCATCTTTCCAATGCCCATAGCCTTTGCACTCCATGCACTTTCCTCCCGATTTTCCTTCCATCCTCTGCGGATTGCTAGGTCTTCGTTTGAAGAACTTGTTCATCTTTTTGGCGATCAACGACATATCTTCCTCAAGCTTATTTCTAGGTTCAGATTTGGGTATGATCAAAAGCAACTAGTTGTTTACGAGATATTCCTAACGGAGTCTCGTACATACTCAGCTCCAGTTCATGTGTTGCGAACACTCCAACTGTTTCTTCACTAATGTTTTGTGATAACTCCTATTCTTCTCTATATTTTGATGAGAGTTTGTCTAGGTTTTATAGGATAATCATATGCATTCATAGGAATTCTAGGCGTGTTAGGACACAAAACTCGGTTGTGTTCTAGTTTTGTGCTTTAGTTTTGCAGAGTTACAGGGTTTGGAGATGATTGGACTCGAAAAGGAGCTATTTGGAGCGTTAAATGAGAAGTCCAGATGAGGTACTCATGTTGCAATATCAATAACTTTCTCTACAGAGGTCCAAATCATGCGAGACTTGTACCATTGGAAAGAGCACTTCAAGAGCTTCGGGTACCAAAATTGCTTAAATCCGACACCGGAGCAGAAAGTTATGAGCGAATTCGTGAAGACCAGAAATCTGCCGGTGCAGGGCCGATTCCAGTTGGAATCGGTCCGATTTCAGAACGCAGAATTCGACCCCAGGAATCTGGATCCGGTCCGGATCCAGTCAAAAACCCTGTTTCGCGATTTTCAGCATTCGAATGGGAATAGGACTCTTGGGAGCCGCCCTAGAGTTATAAAAAAGCCCTAGCCACGTCCTAGAACATCAGAGAACCTTAGAGAACACTTAGATACAGATTTTTGGAGAGCTTTTGGTGAAGAGAAGAATAGAAGTTCACGGGATTTCGGGAAGAAGAAGGAAGATTTGATCGTGGAGACTACACATCTACATGAGATTTTCTCTCCTTTCTTTTATCTCTTTTTCTCTGTTCTTTTTATTGTTTTCCATGAATCGTGAGTAGATCCACGACTATGGGTTAGGGATTCGTTTGTGTTTTGGGTATGTTTGAACCCTAACTTGGATTTCGGTTTTGATTTGTTTCGGTTCTATTGATTTGCGCTTTTGTTGGATTGATGTTTGCTAACCCCTTGGTCAATTATCTTAGATTACATAGAGATATGAGTTGGTTTCAGATCAAAATCAATAGGATAGATCGTATTATTCACATAGAGACATGGCTTAATCGATCTAGGGTCGATGATAGCGTTCTTTATGCACCTAGGGTTAACTCGAATAGATCGAGAGATTGACGAGTTACTCTGTAGGTAGGGAGTAAGTAGACCGAGAGGTGAATTCTCTATCTTTGTGCTTGATGATTCCCGAAAACAAGTCATAATCGTTATTCTCGCATGCTTAGCATATACCCATACACGTGAATACGATCCCGATACCCGTAGTCACCGGTTCTTGATAGTTTACTCGTTTTTATTGCATTATTTCCTTATTCTCCATTCTTTCCACATATTTTCATCATCACTTCCACTTCTACTTGCTTTGATTTAGTTTCGATGAGGGTTTAGATTTAGCTATCGGTCCTTGCGTTCGACCCCGTGTTACGACGATCCGTATCCTTGCGGTGAGTTGTGAATCGGGTATAAATTCTAGACTCGGTACACACGTATCATTTTGTCAGAGTAAGTTGTACCAACTGCCCCTGCTTCATTTGCCATGGCACTCAGTTTTCCACTGAATTCTTTGATAGTTTCATGCTCTCCCATTTTGAGTTGGTTGAACTGCGCCTTCAGCATGTCTCTTTTGATGCGTTTCACGTTCTTTGTTCCTTCATGAATTAATTCCAGAGTGTTTCATGCTTCTTTTGTTGTTTTGTACCCCTGAATTTGCTTGAACTCATTTGGATCGACAGTATTAAAGATTATAGTCACAGCTTTTGCATTTAGGGCTGATGCCTTTTTCTTAGCAATGGTCCACTGAGAACTCAGCTTGATCACCTCCTTCCCATCGTCTCCAATGGCTTTTGGAAAATCCCATCATTTTTCTATAGCATTCCATTCATCTTCATCAATACCTCTTATCAGATTCATGACTTTCACTTTTCAGTAACCATAGTTACTCGAATCCAACATGGGAGTTTTTCCCAAAGCTTGAAATTCCTTGAATGCCTCCATCGTGCATTCTCTTTCTTAACACCGATTTGAGAGGAATAAAACCTACGATCAGTGACCGGAGCTCTGATACCACTTGAAATTGTTTACACACTCAGACGTCACTCAAACTCAGTTCTTTTCATTCAAGGAAATCTGATTACTACAACAAAGAGATAGTTGTAGTAATCACAGACACACCATGTGACGTCCATAACCCATGTCCCGCACACGAGTTGCGACACATAGACGATCAAACCGTATTTTAAAATAGCGGAAATTTTAAAACATTTTATATTATACATATGCAACGAAAATATGTTTATACATATCAAACCCACATATAGTAGACGTATTGATACACGCACGGAAGAGGATGGATAGGGAAGTTCAACCGCAATCACCGGCTCACGGAAGTGGCTCTCGAATTCACGGAGGAATAAGGGATAGTTGAAGTGGATTGATGGCGAATCGATTCCAATCACCGGCTCACGAATGTGGCACTCGAATTCAGAAACGTTTCAAAAGGGATGGAGGTGGTAATCGAAGGATAAGGGCGCGTCGGACACACCGGACGCAATCTCCTCGGACACACCGAAGGAGTCTCTCGGACACACCGAAGAGAAGAGGCCTCGGACACACCAAGACACAAAGATAATCAACACTTTGAGTGGAGAAAGAGAACAAAGATTCTACAATTTTTGATTGATGAAAAGCTGATCACAAAATGAAAAGAAAGGAGTTTAAATAACAACAATTGTCAAGACATAAATGTTAAACAACATGCAGCCCACGTGCATTAATGGTGAGTAGGTGGTAGAAAAGAGCTGTTGGGAAAGCTCCTTCCTTTGGGCTGCTGATGGGCTGGACCGTGGGCTTTCTTCTTGGGCCGAAAATTGATTAAGGCCGTGTTCTAGGGCTTAGGCAATTTGGACTTAATGCTGAAATTGTTCCGGGTCACTTCTCGTCCGAATAATGGTGCATCATTGTTGTCGTGAACCCGGAATCCGTGAAGAACTTTGAGTGACAGCCTTGGTTAGCGTGACACGAAGGGCTCGAGCTCTAGCACGAGTGAGGGGAGGCTCGGCTCTAGGGCTTGCTCGTTGAGCCATCGCGTGGTGCACGTCACTTCCCGTTCTTGCGGCTTCGAATGATCGTGTAACGTGTTGATCATTCGGAACTTCTCCCGGCACCTGAGAGGCCGAGTCTTCATCATCCCGGAGAGCTCCTTCCGTTAAGCTCCCATCCTCATCCGCCTCCAAGCTGTTGGCTGCTCCGATGTCCTCATCATTCCCTCCCCCTTGAGAAGGTTTTGTCCTCAAAACATGCTTACCTACATCAAACGGGTCCAAGTCAGCATCGTTAAATACGTAAGTCAAATTTTCCATACCTTGATTGCGGGTTTTGTCGAGATATTCGCCAAGTGTATGAAGATTTCGTTCTCGCGCCTCTCCTCGTTCAAAAGGCTCATCCTTCTTGATTGTCCTTGGGTTTAAGACGGTGTTCCGCCTTGAGGCGTTCATGGTGCAATGGTAGACGCATTTGGCTCCTTGAGCACGAATGAACCGTGGAGGCACACATGTGGGATTTGTCGGACTCTTCTCGTCGTCCTTGCACAAAATCTGCAATGTAGCACCAGTTCCTTGATCATAGACAAGAATAAAAAGTAAAACGATGTTACCGCGTAAGCTTCTCGTATCAAGGTGGGCAAGCTGCATATATCCGCTTAAGTCTTGGGTGGCCTCTTTGGGATTTGGTCGGTAGATGTCAAAACTTTCTTTGTAACAATCCCCACTTCCTTCAAATCCAAAACCTGCGAACTACGATAAGCTTCTAGGGGAACAATTTTGTTAGTGTGCTCCTTAAGTTTCTCGTGAAAGTATACGTTTTGGAGCTCCCCCATTTGTTGTATAAATTGCACTATATACTCCTCAAAGCAAGAATCATAGATAAGGATAAAAATCGGAACGAATTTACCGGTTAATGATCCACGCCTTTGACATATGATCCATGTGTGCTTGCCAGAGGTGTCATTCGACATCGGTGCAGGTTTGTTTAGACTTTTGATGTCATCATATTCCTTCTTGTTACTCGTGACTATGAATGCATTCTCCTTGACATCTGGCCGCTCTTCATTCACATTCACCAAACTTTTGGGTTTTGTTTCCATCAAAAAGCCGGGGTTCTCGACTGATTCTTTCTTTTCGGTCACGCTCTTGGTCTCCTTGTCAGATGGAACTTCGAAATCCTCCTCAAGGTGTCTCCCCACAGCCATCGTGATTGAGTTATATACCTCGTTATCCTTGATGCTCACCTCTTTTCAGGTGGAATTTCCATTGGGCAAATGACTTTGGTTCCTACACTCCGAACACGGAACCTCACAAGTAAAATGAGTACACAAGGAAGAAGTTTTGTTACCTCGTGTGTGGACTTCTCTTGTATATAAGATAGTTTCGTCCTTTCGAGCATCAAGATTTTGCGCCTTGATTGGGTCTCCGGTATCGAAAAAGTTTTCATGTATAGGCGTTGACGTTGGCGTTCGTTGGTGTAATACCCCGATTCCCGTATTAATTATTTAAATTATTTTTGGTAATAAAAGGAGGGTAAATAAGGCAAAAGTATAGAGAATATTTCAACGAAGATCTAGAAGAAAACGACACTCGATTTGACTGAGAAACGAGGAAGTTATGAGCAAACGAAAATTGAGTAGAACCTGGAAATTTGGAATTCACAAATTATTCGAGGTACGGACGTTTCGAGTTGTACCTCATCGTGTAAACGTGAGTTTCCAATAATCTATTGATTGGACATAAAAGAGGACGTTCCAAGGAAGGTGTAGAAACAAACGGTGCGCGATTCGGGTAAGAAACGAGTGAGAACGGAGCAATCGAAGTCAGTCGGGACGGACCAGAAATGCAGAACGGACGGACTGGCAAAGGCAGAACGGACGGACTGCTAAAGGCGAAACGAACGGACCATGAACGAGCGAGGAGCTGGGCCGAAATTGGGCCCAGACCGTCCGTTCCAGACCCAGAACGGACGGTCCACTGGACGGCACGCAAGTGGCCAACTTGCTGCCTTGGGACGCGTATTTCTCTGCGTTTCCGGACCCCACCGGCGTCAAGTCGCCGACCAATCTGTTCAGGGTGATGCAGGCTCGACCTTGGGCCTGGGCTTGAGCCCATTCAACCTCCCTCTCGCAGCATAAACCTCTCCCAAGGTAGGGGTTTCACCATTTTCGGACAAAATCAGAGAAACGAGAGGGAGAGAAGAAACAGAGAGAAAGGGGCGAAAACCAGGGAGAATCGACGCAAGGGAAGCTCGGGAACACGAAGGGGTACATCCCTAGAGTGTCTAGAAGAGGTTTCCGGAAAGAAACAGATCGGAAAACACCTCGAAATCCGGCCAAAACCAGATCTGAGCCGAAACAGATGTGAGTGGCTCGAGTTGCGTCTGTGTGACCTCGCTTTCGTCGATGTGATTGTGTTATTTCGATGGTTTATTACTTGGATTAGATAGAGGACATTTCAATGAACATTTAACAACAAACGACACGTAATTTGGTGGAGAAATAAGTGAGATATGGCCAAACGAAGTCGGACCAGAAAACTGTTTCGCGATAGAGTGGAACGGACGGTCTGTTTTTGCAGACCCGACGGTCTGGGTGACCCAGACCGGACGATCTGGCATCCCCAGACCGAATGGTCTCCGTTTCAGACCTCAAAAATTGTCCCGCGAGGCCCCGGGACAGCACGGGACCCCTGGACCGACCGATCCACACCCTAGACCGACCGTTCTAGAGTATAGAACCCTTTTTCGGATGATTTTCGAATCCCGTGTGCGTGAGATGTGTGATACAACGATTCGAGTGACTCGTTGCGTGATTATACGGGGTAGTTTGCATGGCATTAAGCGGTAGATCGGTAAGGGACCGGATACCGTGATACGTGTGATTGTACTGGGGGATATATACATGATGTGTGCCATGTGTAGCTTGCTCGTGCGTACGAGTCAAGCATGATTGTGTTTGTGGATGGTTGTGGACGCAACCATCACCGTCATGGACTTGGCGGGCGTTTGAGACGCGATTAGTCGTGTGCGACACGACGACCAACGTCATGGACTTGACGGGCGTGTGACGCGCTCCTAGTCATGGACTTGACTAGGGTATATGGCTGAAACCCTATGGTGGACTCCATACGGGTGATATGATCGATTGTGTCATGCTGACTTGACACGGCCAACGTCATGAACTTGACGGGCGTGGAGGCGCTCCTAGTCATGGACTTGACTAGGGTATATGGCTGGACCCTTTGGTGGACTCCATACGGGTGTGTTTATTTTTCCGTTGTGTCATGGACTTGACATCGGTAGTCACATGACGTGACAAGCGCTTGAGGCGATATTGTCGTGTGATGCGACGACCAACGTCACGCGAGTGACGCGCGTGTGATGCGCACCTAGTCATGCTGACTTGACTAGGGTTTATGACTAGCCCCATGGTTGACTCCATGCGGGTGTGATTGTGATTGTTATTATATGTGTGATGCACGTTATATGATAATGCATGTTACTATTGCTGCATGTGATTGGAATCATCGTTCTAACACCGTTCTCGCTGAGAACGGGTTTACCGGGTTCAATCCGGGCTACTCACTAAGCAGTTGTGCTTAGCCCTCGTAGTTTTACATTTTTCAGATCACGAGGATTACGCCTAGCGCACCCGGCAGACGACGACCTGAGAGAGGCAGCATCATGTACGTGATTTACATTTTGGGTTACGGAACTTGTATTT